GTCCACAGAACTCCTGGCCCTGGCCAGAAGCAGGAGTGTGAGGAGGAGGCAGCCTCAGCGGGCAAGCAGCTGGTGCTCCGAGCACAGGAGAACATGCTGGTCAGTGGGGGATCTGTGGCCCTCTCCTCAGCAGCACACCCTCACGTGTACAGACAGCACCCCTGCACGCCACCCTCACGTGTTTGTGCCCGGACACAAACTGCACGCCTGACCCTGCCATACCCTGTGTGAACACTCCCACGAGACACCACATTCACCTCTGCACAAGTGGCTTACACAGGCATGGACGTGCCAGACGTCGTGTTCACGCACATGCGTGCACATGCTCCAGAAATGTCCCGACTTCCCTTTCCCTCCTGGTCCCCACTGCTGAGATGCTGGCGGAGGCTGGTGCATTCCTATGAGCACCTCCCCTTCCCACACGGACTCCCTCCTCCTCCTGTGCAAGCTCAGGGTTTTGTGCTAGCTCAGGGGAGCCCATGGGGTTGCCGTAATTGTAAAACACTCCAGTTTCTAATGTCATTTTCCCTCTTCTGACAAATTATCAGTCATAATTGGATCCTGGATTTTCAGAGTTGGTGGGGTCGGGAAGGTCTTGGGAACGCCAGGACCTCAGTGGAAACCATCAACTTCTCTGAAGCAGCTGGAATGAAGGCTGAGTGTGTGCACACCCGTATCTGCGCAGCGGGCTCCCAGGGTGTGCAGAGGCAGGCGGAGGGTAGACAGCCCGGTGGGGTGGCTCACCTGTCTCCCACTTCCCCCCCTGCTTCAGAGGCTCTCTGTCTTCCTGTCCTTGGAGGGCTTCCCTTTATGTTATGCTGTGCTCCCTTGAGCTCTGCCCGGCCCTAGCCTCCCTCTGCCCATTTCTGGGTCGTCTCATCCATTTCCGGAGCCTCAGTGGACAGCCATATTCTCTCTATCCAATGTGTACTCCACTGTGCAGTGAGGGCCTGCTGTGCACCAGACGCTGCGCCAGGTGCTGGAACTCCCCAAGGACCTCGCCATGGAGGCCGGGGAGACACACGCATCTGCAGAAGGCAGATGGGCACCCTCGACCCACTTTGCATTTGCTCCCTTCAGCGAGCTAAGTGGAGGGGAAGGCCCAGGGCACAGCCAGAGGTTCCGCTGCACCAGAGCTTCCCAGGAGACATGGCGGTTAGCTACCAGGCATTAAAAGTCCTTGGCAGCTCTGGGGAAGCCCAAAGGTCCCAGAAAAAGGACACCACATAATGGTGCTGCATCTCACCCTCCATGTGCTAACGATGCTCAGGTTTCTGGCATCTGGCCAGAATCCTCCCAGGCTCTAGAGCCAAACTCCACCCATCCAAAGTGAACTCAGCCCCTCCCAAGCTTGTCCTGCCCCACATCTGTGCCTCCTTTTTGTGGTGGCATTTCATCTCAGCAAATACCACCCCAACCCCCTTGCCCATGCCCAGACCTCTGGCACCCCTTGTCCTAGACCAGTTTCTCTGTGACCAGGCCAGCAGGCTCTGTGGGTGACCCCCAACATTTCTCTCAATGCTGTTCTCCTTTCTTCACCCCTACACCCAGGTCTTGGTCTAGGACAGTGGTTCTAACCCTGGCAGTCGATCAGTGGCTTTTTATATTTATTTTATTTTATTATTATTTTTTTTGAGACAGAGTTTCGTTCTTGTTATCCAGGCTGGAGTGCAATGGCGCGATCTTGGCTCACCGCAACCTCCGCCTCCTGGGTTCAGGCAATTCTCCTGCCTCAGCCTCCCGAGTAGCTGGGATTACAGGCACGCGCCACCATGCCCAGCTAATTTTTTGTATTTTTGTTAGTAGAGACGGGGTTTTACCATGTTGACCAGGATGGTCTCGATCTCTTGACCTTGTGATCCACCCGCCTCGGCCTCCCAAAGTGCTGGGATTACAGGCATGAGTCACCGCTCCAGGCCTTTTCTTTTTTAGATAGATTGGGTCTTGTCGTGTCACCCCGGCTGGAGTGCAGTCGGATGATCACGGTTCACTGAAACCTCAACTGCCTGGGCGCTCAAGCAATCCTCCCACCTTAGCCTCCCAAGTAGCTGGGACCACAGGCACATGCCACCACACCCAGCTAATTTTTATATTATTTGTAGAGACAAGGTCTCATATTCCCCAGGCTGGTGTTGAACTAGGCTCAAGCGATCCTCCCACCTCAGCCTCCCAAAGTGCTGGAATTACAGATGTGAGCCTCTGCTCCCAGCAAATTAGTACCCTTGACAAAGCTTGTTAAAGGCAGAAGCTCCCAGAGCCCACCTCCACAGATGTGAAGGTCTGGGTGAGGCCCAGAATTTGTATTTTTAACAAGTGCCTCAGTCGATTCTGATAAGCTTGTACCGAGGAACCGTGCCGGGAGCCAGGAGTCCAAGCTCCACCCTGTCCAGCCTCAGTTACAGCCTCAGCCCCTGGTCCAGCATCCTCTCATGCGCCCCGCCCGGTCAGTGACCTGTCAGAGGCTCCTCACTGTCCTCAGCACACAGACCAAGTCCTTCCTCAGCTGCTGAGCCCACCCACAGCCCTGGGCATTTAAAATGATAAAGGGTGGCTTGCTCATGTCCCTTCCCCTCTAGCCTATGACCCCTGAGGGCAGGCATGACTTGTCCCTGGCACTAGCAGGGTGCTGGGCAGAGTAGGTGCTGGGCAGCACTTGTGGAATGCAAGCACCAGGTCGGGGAGCTGCTGGGCTGTTGGCTGAGCAGGGCTGGGCCCAGGAGGGAAGGAGGACGGAGGTCCAGCTGGGGAAGCAGCCACCTGCCCTCTGCAGCCAGAGATGACACCATGTCCGCATCTGCTCAGGTGAACGTGTCCTTCACGCTGTCCCTGGAGCTGCTCTCCTATCAGAAGCTCCCGGCTGACCAGATGCTGCCTGGGGTGGACATTCAGCAGAGCGCGAGTGGAGAGAGAGAGATGGTGTTTACGCAGAACCTGCTCCTGGAGTACACCACCCAGACCACTCAGGTACGCCCCAGGCCCGCCCACATGTGGGAGGGCAGAAGTGGGCTGGGCTCTGTTCTGCTGGCGCCAGAGGAGGAAAGACCTAGCAGGGACCAAAGAAATAAGGAGCCCCCACTCCTTTCCTGGGGCTCAGTCTCGCCTAGAAGAGGCCCTGTGTGCAGAGAGATGAAGGCCATCCACCCTCCTCTGCCTCATGATCCCAAAGCCAGGTGAGGGGCCAGAGTGTGGGAAATCAGGGAAGGCTCCCTGCAGGAGGTGGCATGTGAAGCCTGTACACCATTTAATCAGGGAAGGGAAACACGCTGACGAACAGGCCAAAAGAATGGCCTAATGGGTGGGGGCAGCGAGCACCTGAGGCAGCTGCCAGGGACAGCCCTGGGCCTTGTGAGGCTTCAGGCACCAGGACAAGCACCACAGAGCAGAACGTCACGGGGCCGTGGTGCAGACGCTAAGCTGGGGCTTCTAGTGAGGAGTGTGAAGGAGTGGCCTGAGGAGGACTCGAGAGAGGCCGGGGCAGGTGGCTGAGCAGTGGAGCCAAAGGGCCCCAGCCTGGCACCCAGGCAGCTGCTGGGGCCGAGGCGGTGGGACAGTGCATAGCATCACCTGAGTGTGATACAGGCTGCAGGAGGTAGAGCAGGGCACAGGTGGGGCCTGAGGTCACGGGACACAGACAGATGGTCCAGGGCCTGAGAAGAGCTGAGGGCCAGGCCTTGGGGCCACCATAGGAGGAGGAGGGGTGAAGGAGGGCAGCCCAACCAGCCAGGGTGCAGGGCCTGGAGCTTTATGAGGGAGGAAGGCAGGGATAGCAGGGGAATGGATGGCGTCACCCTGGCCCTTTCCCTGCGTAGACTACAGCCCCTGGCCTTTGAAGTTGGCACTGGCCCCTTGCCAATTGCTGGGTGCTTCCCCTGCCCTCAGGAGCATGAGCACTTGGGGTCAGCAGGGTTCCCAGCCCAGAGGCCCTGGCTTAGGCTCACCCAGAGTGAACAAGGCGGTCTGGGCCCCCACAGGTGGTGCCCCTGCGGGCCGTGGTGGCCGTGCCTGAGCTGCAGCTCTCCACCAGCTGGGTGGACTTCGGGACCTGCTTCGTGAGCCAGCAGCGAGTCCGGGAGGTCCACCTGATGAACCTGAGCGGCTGCCGAAGCTACTGGACTGTGCTGATGGGTACGTCCTACCCTCCCGCCTACCCACTGTTCCCCTACAGGGCTGTGCCAAGAAAAGACCCCCAGGAAAGGGCTGCTGTGCCCTGTCCCTGCATGCTGGCCCCCAGGGCTAGTACCACGTGGAGTTTCTGTAGAACAGCCAGTCCCCCACATGATCTCAGGGCTGCCCTGCCCTGCGGTTCTGAGCAAGAACAGAGGTACAGGCCTGGGGGCGGGCGACGTCTTCCTGTAGTGGTACGTGGGACTGCTGCGCCCATGTCTTCCCTTCCCTTTTGTGCAGGCCAGCAGGAGCCAGCCAAGGCCGCTGTGGCCTTCAGGGTCTCCCCAAACAGTGGGCTGCTGGAAGCACGATCCACCAATGCCCCCCCAACCTCCACTGCCTTGCAGGTTTTCTTCACTGCCAGGTACAGCCCCTCCCAGCCTCCCCCAAACTGCCCACAGGGCCTGGACCCCGCTGCCCAGACCCCTCCTAACCGCAACCCCCACATGCCCCCGACAGCCACAGTGAGCTGTACGAGTCCACAGTGGTGGTGGAAGGTGTGCTTGGCGAGAAATCCTGCACCCTGCGGCTCCGGGGCCAAGGATCTTATGATGAGAGATACGTGACGCCTCCCCAGCCCTAAGCCCCAGGCCCCAGCTGCAGAATAAACGTTGCCAGGGATTAGGAGCAGACCTTCAGCACAAAGACAGACTTGAGGCCCTCTGAACAGCTCCTAGAATGGAAGAAGAACCCCCTTCCACAATGGTCTCAGCCTAAGCCTTCATGTTTGCTCAGAGCCACACCACAGGAGAGACCACTGCATTGAGAATCACCACACACATTGCACGGCGAGGACCAGTACGGCGGAATTCCCCTTGGGAAAAAGCCACAGCCACTAAGATAAATTCTTGCACATTTACTATGTCCATTGCGCCTCTCATCCACGAATTCACCTTGCCCTGGGAATTAACCGTGGCCTTGTGGCCTGGGTGATCCAGACTGCCTTTGTCTTGCACAGCTAACGAGGGTCTGATGGGTGGCTCAACACCCCACCCACTCCTAGACCATGTCAGCCGTGTTCACATTTGCCAAACGAGTTGATCTGTCCGCCGCCACCACCACCAGGGCTGAGTTTTCCCGTGTGGTTTCGCTCCTGTAGTGCTGCTGCCTTGCTGCTAGAGCAGGACTGCATGGGCAGCGCCTCCAGCCTGGCTTCACTCAGTTCCCAGGGTATTCAAAGACAGCAGCAGCTCCCATTCCAGTCCCGATGCACATGGACACTACTCCATATGCCCTGTGAAAACAAAACGGAACTGGCTGGGCAGAGGCACCACCCAGCTATCTCCAGACCAGGCTGAGCCAGACGGACTTCATGACGAGTAGGATGCAAAACTGTCAGACCAGATCTGTTGGCACACGGTACCCTGGCCTCCCACTTTGAGCACATACACAGTGGCAGATGCTCACTGCAGCCAGTGTCCCTTTTAAGGCTGGTCCTCAGGGAAAACAGAGATCATGCCCCTACATCCTCAGTTCAGGGTGTCTGTGTGTGCATGTTCCCTTCCCTAGGGACCGCTCATAATCCCAAAAGACACAGTCCCAAACATCATAATCCCAAATGTTGAAATCCTGAAAGAACAAAATCCCTAAAGTCTAAAATCCTGAAAATTACAATCTTAAAAGATTGAAATCCTGAAAATACAATTCTGGAAAAAGTAATGTGGAAACCTGGCATAGTGGCATCTACTTGTAGTCCCAGCTATTCAGCAGGCTGTAGCAAGAGGATCACTCGTGCCTAGGAGGTCAAGACCAGCCTGGGCAATACCGCAAGACCCCATCTTAGAAAAAAACTTTTTAAAAAGATTCATTTAAAAGATATTTACATTTTTAGGCCAGGCGCAGTGGCTCAAGACTGTAATCCCAACACTTTGGGAGGCTGAGAAGGGCAGATCACTTGAGGTCAGGAGTTCAAGACCAGCATGGCCAACATGGTAAAACCCTGTCTCCACTAAAAATACAAAAATTAGCTGGGTGTGATGGCAGATGCCTGTAATCCCAGATACTTGGGAGGCTGAGGCATGAAAACTGCTTGAACCCAAAAGGCGAAGGTTGCAGTAAGCCAAGATCACGCCACTGCACTCCAGCCTCGACACCAGAGTGAGACTCCATGTCAAAAATATACATATATGTACATTTTTTAAAGGGGATTTATTTGACAAACAAAAACAGAACACTTCCCAGGCTACTTTACACAATACAATCGGTAACGATTACATATTTTAGCAAGCATAAACACTCAGGTATGCTAACAATAGTCACAGGAGTATAACAGTTATAAACAAACCGTATTCATAAATAGGTTAAAAAGCAAACTCTGTAAATGGCTGGTAATCGTGCGCACCCAGCTTTATAACTGCAGCCATATGAATACCATGATGGAGAACCTGGTATTCAGGTTTGATGAGATTGATCAAAAACTGTGATGGAGCCAGGCTCTGTGGCTCACACCTGTAATCCCAGCACTTTGGGAGGCTAAGGTGGGAGGATCACTTGAACCCAGGAATTGGAGACCAGCTTGGGCAACATAATGAAATGCTGTCTCTACAAAAACTGAGCTGGGTGTAGTGGCACGCACCTATAGTCTCAGCTACTCGTGGGAGGACTGCTGGAGCCAGGGAAGCAAGGGCTGCAGTGAGCCGAGATGGAGCCACTGCACTTTAGCCTGGGTGACAGAATGAGACTGTCTCAACGAGCAGACAAACCTGTGATGGGTCACCACTGCATATGCAGTCACCCAAAGAACCAAGAGCTTGAGAAATTGTATCTTTCACAAATGCAGGTACACAAACAGAACACTTTTACATTTACTGAGGAAGTTTCAACATTTTTATGTACATGCACAAGGCTTACAAAGTCAGTGTGATAATGCACTTTAGTGGAATCAAATTTCTGATGTCCAAGGCAGAAAAAAAGTATGTCCCACCTCTGTATTTGTTCTCTCCAGGGCCCCAGGCAATTAGATGGTGCCTGCCAACACTAAGGGTGGATCTGCCCCACCTGGCCCACTCAAATGCATCCTAACCTCCTCTACAAACACCCTCACACACTCAAAATAATACTTGGTCAGGTTTCTAGGTGTTCCCAAAGTTAAGTTGTCAACTTAGCACCACTCACAACTCCTTAAACCATACTTAATTTCCAAATGAAGGCAATAACAAGGTAATGGTTGCATCATACTAGTTACACCATGTAACACAATGGCGATGCCTGCATACGATGGAAAATGTACTAATCCCTTCCCTAGAATTCATAGCATGAATTCAACAATAGGATTTCAACATTCAGGATTTTAATCTTCTGAGATTGTGACTTTGGGGATTTTAGTCATTAGGGATTTTTTTTTTTTTTTCCCTTGACTAGTCAAGGGTAGAAGAAAGAAGTACTCTTAGAGTAAACAAGGAGTTTGATCTGTAACTGACTGAACAATCAAGATAACACACTACCTTTGGACCAGCCAAGACCTTAGGGACTTTGATCTTTTGGATTTCAACATTTGGGATTATGGTGCTCAGGACTGTGTCTGTTGGGATTATGATTCAAAGCCCACCTACCCCTATCCCCTACCCTGCAGGTGCCCCAACTTGGGTATCCCCCCCGACAACCCCCCACCAGGAGCCAGCCTTACCTCTTCCCACGGCGCTTCAGCTCGTTGAGCAGCGTGATGACCTGTCGTGCCCCAGTGCAGCCCAGTGGGTGCCCCAAGGCCACTGCACCCCCCAGAGGGTTCACCTTCTCAGGCGGGAGTCGTAGCTTCTCCACACAGTAGGCAGCCTGGAAGGAGGCAGGTCATCAACGAAGCCGCCTTGTCCCTCCCCTGCACCACCTGCCCGCTTGCTCCACCTGGACTGTCCAGGGCCGAGGCAACATGGAGAACAACAGCTCACCTGGCTTGCAAAGGCCTCGTTGATCTCAAAGATGTCCACGTCACTCACAGTCAGCCCTGCAGGCAAGGTAAAGACCTGACCTGACACACTGGCTCTGTACCAGGACTCTGTCTCCCCTGGGCCTGCCCCATCCATGGGCCTTCAGGCTGCCTGGTGTGTGTCTCTTCCAGAAGGGTGAGCCAATCCCAGCTGTGGGGTCAGGACGGGCTTGGAGTATGGGACACTAGCCTTCCCACCTCCATTCTGCAGCACGCACAGGACCACCCCCATGCCCCTGGCAACAGCATGCAGGGCAGGTGCAGCATCCAGGCGGGACCCAGACGGCAATGTGAAGGAGCCACCTTACCTGCTTTTTGCAAAGCTACCGGGATGGCATAGGCAGGTCCGATGCCCATGATGTCAGGTGGGACCCCAACCACTGCATAGGACCTCAGGACCCCAAGGATGGGAAGGCCCAACTCTTCTGCCTTGGACCTCCGGGCCAGCAGGATGGCAGCTGCCCCATCACTCACCTGGCTAGAGTTTCCTAGGGGCAAATTGTTGGAGTAAGGGATCAGGGTGGGGCCGAGGAGATCCCAGCCCTCCCACATCTACTCTGTCTGCAGAGGGGCCTGGTCTATTCCAGGCTCCCAGAGTACAGCACCCAGCATGGCCACGGCCTCCTTCCTCACACCCCACCCCAGACCAGTCTCACCAGCTGTGGTAGAACCGTCCTTCTTGAAGGCAGGCTTCAGTTTGGCCAGCCCCTCCATGGTGGTGCTGGGGCGGATGCCCTCATCCTGGGTCACAGTGATGCTCCTCTTGGTACCCTTGTCATCATGGACCATGGTGGTCACAGGCACAATCTCAGCTTGGAAACAGCCCTTGCTCTGGGCTCTTGCTGCCCTGCCAGCACCATGAACAGCCAGGCTCAGGCTCCCTTGGGGTTCCCTTCCTCCCTGCCCTCAACGCCTATCCATTTGGGTAGACGTGAGCTTAGGCTGCTAAATTCGGGGACATGCTCAACTTTAGGGGAGCTCTGAGGGCATGGCCAAGACCTTACAGGGCCTTCTTCATCCTCAACCCCAGACCCCCAGATCGTGGCCAGTCCCAACCTCAAAGGGGAGATGGGTGTTTGGAGGGGTGCCCCCACTTAGAGCCCTTTGTCCAAGAGGGACCAAGCCTGTTCCGTTCTCTCTGCTAAACTGAGGGTGGAACCCCAGAAATATTTGTGCTGGGTTCTGCCAACTTTTCTGTTCAAACCCAACAGTTCAAAGTCATCTATTCCCCAGTTTCCACATATTTAAAGTGACATATACTAAATGTCATAGGCCAGTCCGATGACATTTAGTATATGTCACTTTAAATAAAAATACAATGTATTTTTGTATTGAAAGAGTTTTAAAGCACAAGGTATTTAAGAGTGACCCTTGAAATAAGGTGCAGCATATAAGTGCCCAGGGACACTCCAGTGGAAGGAATCCAAGGCTTCCAACATATTTTCAAATGGTTATGTGACCCCAAGCGGCTAAGAATCACTGCTTCAGAGAAGCCCACCTGGCCCAGATACCATCCCCTGCTTTTGCTGTCCTCTCGCTGGATAGCCGGAACCTGCCAATCTTAGCTTGCCTGAGCCCCTGGGGTTTCCCTGATATCATCCCCAGTTCTTGCCATAGGATGCTGCCACGACTCAGCATGGTCCAGAAGCTAGGATGCCAGGGTCCCTAGCATTGCTGGCCCCACACTCCAGGCTACCATGTCCAATCTCCAAACCACAGCCAGAAAAGAACACATGGGGAAACTGAGGCCTCAGTAGGGCAAAGAGTCAGAGTGAACAGACCTGGAATAGAACCTGGAAGTGTTACCAACTCACAGTGGCCCTGACACTTCCCACTTCCCACCCCCAACCTGGGAGGCCCAAGGCTTGGAAAGCACTCACTGCCCAGCTGTAAGCACAGAAGGGCTCCACTTCAGATCACTTAGACGGGCTCAAAACCTCACTGTCCAGCCCTTTAAACAGTCCTCTCCAAGCAGTACTCACTTCTGCTGGGAAGCCAGGGCAAAAGTATCCTGCTTCTCCCGTGAAATGCCAAACCGCTCAGCCACATTCTCCGAGGTTATTCTAGAACACAAACAGCAAATAGTGTGGGCACTGGTCTGACAGCCTAGAGGAATGGACCAGGCTGCAGAACTGTGCTTGGAACTCTGGGTTCCCAAGGCTGGAGGCAGGAGAGGACGGAAAGGCCAGTCCATGTCACAGGCCGTGGTGATGACTCAGGATGTGGATATAAAGACTCAGATAGGAAAGTCAGCAATGCTGGCCAGATCCTGAGAAGGTCATACACCAAAGAGACCCTCTCCCAGAGAGAAGGCAGCCTGCATGGGGGCAGCTGCAGAAGAGTCTGCTCCCTGGGTGAGCTGCCTCAGAGCAGGGGAGACAAGGAGCGGGGAGGGTGTGGGTGGGGGCAGTAACCGGCCACTCGTGGCCAGCTCCTCCTATGCCCCAAGGAAAACTGATGCAACATAGGGAGGAGAGGACTCCCAAACCTCCTCTAGAAAAGCCAGACCTGGGCTTTCTGGTCACCCTGGCTGGGGTCTATGCTTATCCTGAGAACCGAGAGCCACAGCTAGGCCTTCTGGCCTGGCCTTCTGGCTTTACAGGCCTCCCTTGGAGATACGGTGTGTGAAACAAGCCACGGCACTGCCCCCTCCAAGCCTCTGTCTCCTCAGCTGTCTCGTGGATCCAGGACTCCTGGCCCACAGACTCTGGGGATGGCCCAGAGAAGCTAAGTTGTTCCATACAAATGCCACATACTTTTCATTTTGCACCTGACAGGGCCCGGCTCCCCCACCGGCATGTTCAGTCATCAAAAGCCTCCCCCTGCCTTCTCAACTTCCTAGGCCCCCAAGGCTTTGGAGTGGCGCTACCATTGTCCTTCCTATGACTGAGCACCTCGGTGTGGTGACAAAATGGGCAATGTTTGGAAACTCGGGCACAGAAGAGAACCTGGGGTCCTCAGGAAAGGGAGGTCAAGGGCGGCTTCAACTCTCATCCCCAAGTCCCTGCAGAGCAGACTATGTCCAAAGGAAGGAGGCCAAGGCTGGGCACCGCCAGCCACAAAGACGATAAAGTTCTTCCGCCCCCTGCTCCAGGCAGAGGGCACAGCACACAGAGCTATGGGAGCGCTCACCCCATAGGAATCAGGCAATCTCTGGCCTTCTCCTTCTCCATCAAGCGCGAAGTAATATTTCCAGGGTTCCCTCTGTCAGCCAGGGACATGGACTCCACCCTGGGGAGGAGGAAGAGGAGGAGAAGGTAAGGTGAACTGGGCCCTAGCAGGACTCCTTCAGGAATAGCTGTACACTTGGCAAGTGGAGGAAATAGCCAGGGAGCCCTGGGAAATCCAGTGGGCCTCTGGGAGCCACAGGCAGGGCTCAGCTGCGAGTATAGCACTGCTGAGCCCTGTCTCCACTTCACCCCCAACCCCAGCACAGAGCGCTGCACAGTAACACTCCTGGGGCAGGGCCGTGCCTCCCTATACAACTGCTCTGTCAGCCAACTGGCAAGTCCAGAGCAACGCCTTCCGGTGTCAGCCACAGAAGAGGAAACACATCCACCAGCCCAGGCCTACCCTCAGAGTCCAGGAATTCAGAGGGGAGAAGAGACAATTTAAAAGTAATCACAAAGCTGAGCTCAAAGGGTGATCAGACCTACATAGATAAGGAAGTGCTTCGAGCTGAGAGGAAGGAGGTGCTGTAGTGTGGTCCAAAAGGGCTTTGAGGAGATGGGGGACCCTCATGCCTCAAGGATGACAACAGATAACCTTGGCTGAGTGCTTTTCACATGCCAGCACTATTCTGAACTCTTCAGATATTAGAGTGCGTCACTGTCAGTCACATGACAAATACTCCGTCGTGTAAGCTGCTGCTATTACTCCATAATCTTCTCATCAACTTCAACAGAGCTAAGCTAGGTATCCCCATTTTATAGACCAGCAGACCGAAGTCTAGAGACTGTATAACTTGTCCATGGTCACCCAGCCTGGATCCACATTTAGGTAGTCTGGCCCCAGAGCCCACTTCCAGCTAGAATGCCCTGTGCTATATACTTGCTGATGAAAGCCTATGGGGAACAATCCGCCTGGGATGTGGGTGTCAGGCCTGGCCCAGATCTTAATATCCTAGTACCACAGTCCTTGACCTGCTTGGGAATCAGATACCCTCTAAGATACTCATAAAGGCTCCCGCCCTTCTCAAGTTATCCACACCAGCTCTCACCCGGTTAGATAGAGAGAAATCAAAGGGCAGTGGCCCTTGCCCAGCCAAAGTCCTTTTGGAGTGGTCTTTGGCTTTATTTACAGCTGCAGACATCAGTCAGTACAACTCGGTGCCAGATGCCACGGCCCTGGGACAGGGGCCAGCAATGCTTCCTCTCAAGAAATACTACAAAGAGGATGTGAAAGGCAGCGGGGGCATGTCAGAACCCTGGGGCTGTTCGCCTCCCCCAGCCTGCCAAAGCCCTTACTCCCCTGCCCTCCCAGCATCAGATGCCCACCCAAGCCTGGGCCCCAGAGCCCTGCCCTTCCCTGGAGGCATTGCCAAAGACAACTTCTGCAGCTCCATTCACTGCAGCCAATGATGGAGCCACAGTCTAGGAGGAGGTGACGGTGACCAAAGCACCACCAACTGATCATGTCCCTCAGAGCCCATAGGCAGCTCGAAGTTTCCACACTGGTATGAGGGTGGGAGGCAAGAGGACAGATAGCCTAGTAAAATGAACAAACTAGTGATACAGTAGGCAGCTGGCCCTGGCTTTCGAGAGCCCAAACTGCAACTTCTCTCTCAGCAGCACCGTGAATCCACAGGGCTACAAAAGGAGACCCCAGTGCTGTATTTTCTCAAAATGCTTTCCCACATTTTCCAGCCTGAAAGAGTTCCAAGAACTTAAGCTTTTAGAGGCCAACCGCCCTCCCCTGCTAGTGCTGAGAGGTGTGAGTGATTCCTGAGCAGCCAGAGTTGGGAGCCACTCCTAAGCTGCATTTGTGAGAACCCACTCCCGACCAGCTGCCTAAAGGGGACGGGGCAATCCCGCAATCATGGCCTCTGAGAACTCAGATGAAAATTAGTTTTATTGTCACAAGTTGGTTAATAAGCTCCGGCAGAAAAAAATTCTTACCCACAGGCCATGCCAATGTCATAAGACCCATTTCTGATGCCACCTGCAACAAAAGCATTTCATAAACATCCTTTGCCAGAGTCTACCTGTTCCGGAAGCAGTGGAGCCTCTTCCCCACCTGGCCTCTAGATGGGACTCAGCCCTAGCCTCGGAAACGGAAGACCAGGAGTGTTCAGAAAAGGCTTGGGGCAGTGGTAGGGCATTCCTGCACTCTTTCTGTGGTTAGAGTCCTCTCAGAAATCCTTATCGCTTGCCCAGCAGACAGCAACTTTGCTGACCCAAACCCACAGGCCCAGGACCAAGGAACCCACCCAGTCAACTTACCAGCTATGCTGGCCACTGCCTGTAGCCCTGATGAGCACTGTCTATTGACAGAGGACAGAGGCACAGTCTCTGGGATGTCACTGAAACAGAAGGTGAGACAGTAGAATCAGTCCCCTCTTGCATGCCGGCCTCTCATGGAAAGCAGTCCTGTGCCTCAAGCAATGTAAACGGCAGGGGAACATGGAGGCCAGCAGCCCTGCCTCCATGCCAGGCCAGATCCATGGAATGAGGGTGCGCAGCTACTGGGCAGACGCCATCTGTGCAGGCGCTTGCTCCCCAGGGCCCCATAAGCACATTCCCCTCCATTCCTATGAGTATCTTCAATCAAAGACCAAGCATAGCCAAAAGGGAAGGGAAGCCTGTCTGGGCCACAGGCATCCTTCTCTTTCTCCCTTTGAAGATTCAGAAATGAAAACTATGTATCTCTGTTTCCCCCAAAGAACAAAGAAAAGGTCCTGTTGCTGGGACAGAGCGCCAGAGCAAAAGCAATGTCTAAAGTCTGAGGCCAGGGACCCTCAGCCTTACCAGTAATCATACAGCTAAACCCGCGTGTTCCCATGGACTCCTGAAAACCTGATCCCACCTCGACGGAGAACTCTGACAGGCATCACATGTTCTAACATCTGTTGCTCTGGTGTGTTCCCCAAGGCTCTTAGCCCTGGAAGCTAGTAGGGCTTCCCCTCCTGATGTAACCTGCCTTGGCCAACAGCACAAAGCCCCAGGGAAATTTCCAGACCTCCTTAGACCCACAGACTCAGAACCTGAGGTAGTGGAAGCACCCTGGTGATGGCGGTGTGCAGCCAGAGCTGGGAACCTCTGAACTAGCGTCCAGGCCAGGCTCTGCAGAGACTCTCAGGCGGATAGTGTGCTATGCAGCCTGTGTGACGCCTCCAGGGTCCCTTAACTCCGCAGTAGGTAGTTACCATTCCTTCACTCAACCCACCAGGTGTTGACTAAGTACCTACTTAGCACAAGGCACCACCTGAGGGATGCTGAGATGCACATAACACTGTGCCCTAGAGGATGCCCAAGCAACACACAGAAAATGAATCAACTAGCAGAGGCTGAAATAATAGGGCAAGAGGGCAAACCGCATCACAAGGAAGCACATGGCTAGCTACTACCAGATTGGAAGGGGCTCTCGTTTTCAGCCTGAGAGCCTGGATAAGTCATGCCAAAATGGTAAGACTATGTTTGGGCAAGGTTTAGCTAGGGTAGAAAGAGGAGGTAGGGCTAGCACTTCAAGGAGACAGAATGACCGTTATCAGGGAGGACAGCAGGCCAACAGGCCAGCTGAACGAAGAAAAGTCAAGGTGAGTAAGCAGCTGGGAGACAAACCTGGAAGGTAAGTGTGGAGCCAGATTGCAGGGGGCTTGAACTACAGGCTGGGCAGTGTAAATCTCTCCCGGTTCCTAGAGGGTTTTTGTTTTCCTGTTCCTTCACTAGCTAATGTTCCTATTTATTCTTCTCCATGTACCTGAAAGTACAAAGCTGAGCAGGTCTTAAATCTACGCATGAAAATAATTTAAGCACTCTTTCCCCTGCAGGTGCGTAAAGGGAAGTTTACCAGGTCTCCTCCTGGGCGTCCCTCTTCCCCACGGTTCTGCCCTATCCCAAAGGGTCTGCTAGTGGGTTATGACTGGAGTTCCCAGCTCAACTAGTAAAAAGGCTGAAAGTCACTTTTCAGCATGCTTACTTGGTTACTCACCTGACAAATGAGGACAGAATCCACACTTACAAAAGGCAAGCAACAACCTTTTGGCTAAAAATCAAGCCACAGACAACTTTTGCTCCAGTGTCAAAGGCCTTGTGCACCCCGGCTCAGCACCTGGAGGACTCACCCTCCCTTCAAAGTAGGGGAGAGGCGAGTCCACAAGGGGAGGGAGCCAAGGACTCTGGTTGCCTCATTCTGGCGTCCAATCTGATCCTCCCCAACATGCAGGCCGAGTTCCCTGGGCCCTGGGCCCATTAAAGTGTCAAAATGGCCAACCCATTGCTACAACTAGAAAAGTACCTCAGAAACTGGGCGATTCGGGCCATGATTGCCCCGGCCCCGGGCTGCAGCACATTTCCTGTGGACAACAAACTTCCATTCAGTGCCAGGTGTGGGGTTCTGGGCACTAAGGTATAGCTGTGAATACCAGAGATGAGCCGTTCCAGTTCTTTCTTCGGGAACACTAGCCCTTGGCAGCTCTGGAACCCCGGGGTTTGGAGCAGGGAGAGCCAGCCATACAACAGCTTGTCCTGGTCTTCCACCAGCTCCTGTCCCCGAGCGTCCCACGCTCACTTGCCCTTGCACCCAGTTTTTCCAAATCAGCACAGATGGACAGGTTGCCTGCCTTTAAAAGTGACACGGGAGTTTCTGAAAATGCACATGTCCCCAGGTGTCCTCCTCTGAGCGTCACCCCAGAGGACTGCCGACCTAGGGGTGGCATCTACCGGGTAAGACTCTCGCGATGTCATGTTGCTATATCTCAAGGTGAGGGGTGGAACAGAGGGCTGGACTGAAGGTCAAGGCCATGGAGGTTCCCCCAGTGAAAACTCGGGGTGGGGAGGTGCGGAGGGCTCTGGACAAACGGAACGGGGAGGGCCCAGCGCGGGGCCTGGCTGGCGCGCTCACCGACACAGATGTCCCCCAGCTGTTCCGGACGCAGATTCACGTCCTGGAGAACCGCGGTCATGACAGCCGAGAGAAGCTCGTCGGGGGTGGTGTCCTGCAGCGGGAGGAGCAGCTGCGGTGACCCCCACTCCCCCACGCCCACTCCAGAGAGACAAAGCGACCACAGCTGGGTGCGGAGCTGCCTCCGGCATCCAGGGGAACCACACATACCAGCGGGACCCCAGCCCGCGCCGGCGTCTTCCCACACCGGGCGCCCAGACCCTCGGGCCTCACCTTGAAGCCGCCGCGGCCCGCCCGGCAGATGGCGGTGCGCCGCCCGTGCACCACCACCACGTCCGCGGCCGAGGCCTGCGGGGCGCCGCTCGAGCAAGGCGCCGCCTGCAGCGTCCAGCCGGGATCGGGCTGGCCAGCCAGGTGGCCCAGCACTACCTGCAGCCTCCGCATTGCGCAGCTCCACTCTACAGAACCAACCGCCGGAGTTAACAGACTATACCGCCCGCGCACGCGCAGAACCACACCTCAGGCTCCTTGGCCTAAAGAGCCGCGCAAACAAAAGTCCCGCCCACCTTCCGCCTCAGCCAACCATAAGGTGAGTCAGCCTGGGGACCCGCCCCTCCCGCCACGGCCTACCGAGCCCTCTATTGGAGGGCCCGCAGTCACCGCCCAGCCGAGCTTTCCACTCAATGCCCCGCCTACCTTAGCCTACCGCAGCCAACCAGAAGGTGGACCTCTATGAATCCCCGCCCAGAAAAGCAGACCGGAAGCCTTTCCAGCTTTTGTAGCCAAACCCGAGACCGGACCCCCAAAGCCCTGCCCCCTGCCCGCATCCCAACGGACGGCGGGACCGCCAGGACCGCTTCCTGCTTGGGATGGCGATGGAAGCCGGGCCTCCAAGTCCTCTACCCACTTCCTGGTCGGCTCTGCTATCCCTCCGGTCCCCGTACCCAAGCTGGGGGACCTAAATACTTCAGAGACGCCCGAGTCCTACTCCGACGTGGCTGCGCTTTCTCATTCTTTCGAGAAGACCGGGAATTTGGGCTTTCGGGCTGGCCGGGAGAAGAGATTTCACAGAGGGGCTGGGGAGTGACAAGCTCTTTAACTGGAGAACGAACATCTCACACTTTTACCAGTGTGACACCCAGTTGGAATGATTTTATTAGTGCCCATTTTCCCGTGCTAGGCTGGGATCTCCCGCAAGGCAAAGAGGTATCCGGGGAGCCTGCGACTCGCTTGGCACTTAATAGATGATCGATAAATACTTGTCGAATGAGTAAATGAATGAACCGGGGCTCTCCAGGTCCGGATTGTGACCTTAACCCGAAAGCGCAAGGTCACGTGCCCCCTTGACTCCCAGTAGCCGGGCCGTGTCTTTACCTGAAATCCTGGAGAGTAGCGCTGGGCTTCCCACAGACACCAAAGCACAGGGCGCCATGTGGTTCCCAGCCTAGCGTCACGACGCCCCCAACCGTTTCGAGGTTGCCTCGGGCTCCAGAAATGTCCCTTTCCCACTCCCCCTGGGGTGCACAGCAGGGGTCTCTCCCTACCCCTACCGGCAGGATTACGTGTTCCCCAGAGACAGCTGGTGCTTTCCCACTCGTCTCCTCCTCGCCATCCTCGAGGGCAGGACCGTATGAACCCCTCAGAACCCCAGTGGAAGAATTGTGACTCCAGATCCCAAAGAGCAAGGCCGGTTTCCTACAACCCCCGCAAGGTCGACCTCACTCCGCCGCCTACCTACTATCAGCACCTCGAGGCGGCGCCGCGGACCTCTCCGGCTCTCAAAAGGCAGATTCCGACTTCCCACCTCCCCCCTTCCTCCCCCCACCCGAGACCGCGAGGGTGGAAGTGGACGCCCCCGCCTCCGCACTTTTGCGTGAGGCTCCAGATTGCAGGGCAGGGCGGCGCTTCTCGGAAAGCGAAAGCCCGCGGGGCGGGGCGGGAGCCGTAGGAGAAAGAGGAAGCGCTGGCAGACAACGCGACCCTGTCGGCGCCGAGGCTCCAGGACAGCCCGCCATGGCTGCAGAAGGTCCCGGCGCGGGGTCTGTGACCCCGGTCTCCTCCACATCCTCCCTGCCCCTGGCTGCTCTCAACATGCGAGTGCGGCGCCGCCTGTCGCTGTTCTTGAACGTGCGGACGCAGGTGGCGGCCGACTGGACTGTGCTGGCGGAGGAGATGGACTTTGAGTACTTGGAGATCCGGCAGCTGGAGTCGCACGCCGACCCCACGGGCAGGCTGCTGGACGCCTGGCAGGGACGCCCCGGTGCCTCGGTAGGCCGACTGCTGGAGCTGCTCACCAAGCTGGGCCGCGACGATGTGCTGCTGGAGCTGGGACCCAGCATTGGTGAGGACGTCCCCTTCCTGGCCTCATACCTGGGGGCTGAGGAGGCTGACTTTTCGGCCTCAGCATCCTATCTCCCCTGAAGAGACCCCGTTTCCCCGCTCGGGGACCTGGAGAAGCCTGCAGAGGGAGAACTATGCGAGTGCAGTTCCTTCTCAATAACCGGGACCTGCTAGGGACTGGACTGGAGAAAAGTCCGGAGAGGCGGAGATGGGAAGGAAGCAGCTTAGGGAGAGGCTTTCAGGTGGGGCCAGGAGTCAGAATCAGGCTTCTGTGGGGGCGTCTGGGCTGTTTCAAGTAGAGCAACAGAACAGGCGGGGGACTGACAGTGGACTGTCTTAGAAACCTCAAGTCCTGGTGAAGTGCAGCCCTTCCTGTTACTCACTGGCACTTACATAATATACACGCATAGGCATTGGGTACAGCCGCCCACAGGCAGGCATACCTTGCTGGGTTGGAATTACTGCCCTCACTGCACCACAGCCAGTGGGTCAGTCTCCCGAGCCTTTCTGGCATGCTTAGCTCCTTGCTCACATGTGCCCTGGATCCCAGAAGAAGCAGACCTATCTTGGTACCTTTCTTAGGATCCCTAGGAAGGGACAGAGATACAAACCTGACCTTGATGGCCTTCCAGAAAGACAAAACACCACTGACATCCCTTTGGGTCTGTTAGTGCCAGTGGGAGCTCAACTTCTCAGAGCTGTTGAGCTGCTGATGGCACCAGTGGGCTGGGTAAGTCCTATAGAAGAACCCTGCCATAGGAGGTGGGCAAGGGCGGGATCCTGACTGTGGATAGAGAGGTGGGCACTCCAGGGGAGGCTGCCATACCCCGTCTCTTCCCCACAGAGGAGGATTGCCAGAAGTATATCTTGAAGCAGCAGCAGGAGGAGGCTGAGAAGCCCTTACAGGTGGCCTCTGTCGACAGCAGTGTCCCACGGACAGCAGAGCTGGCAGGCATCACCACACTTGACGACCCCCTGGGTAAGGGTCCAATACTGTTCCCATGGGACAGGTGGAATAGGACAGTGTGGTATTAAGAGCATGAGTGTTGGAAGCAGATGGGCTGTGGGACCTTGGGCGAGTCACTTAATCTTTCTAAGTCTCAGTTTCCTCGCCTCAGAAATGGAGATAATAGTCCTACCTCTGGGTTGCTGTGAGACTCTCATGAAATGATACCCATCTTCACGGGTGTGGTGGCTCATGCCTGTAATCCCAACACTTTGGGAGGCCAAGGTGGGTGGATCATCTGAGGTTGGGCGTTCAAGACCAACCTGGGCAACATGGCGAAACCCCATCTCTACCAAAAATATAAAAATTAGCTGGGTGTAGTGGCTCACACCTCTAATCTCAGCCATTAGGGAGGCTGAGGCAGGAGAATCGCTTGAAGCTGAGAGGTGGAGATTGCAGTAATCTTTCCTCTCCTGGGAAGGGCACTTTCTCTGAGGAGTATCATCTTGGGAAGGGTGTAAGGCCCAGGGTTGCCTAGCCAGGGGACTCTTGGCTGGACCCCTCCCAAGCCTTCCCATGGAGCTCTGAGTACCACCCTGTGCTCTGCACCCAGGGCAAATGCCTGAGCGTTTCGATGCCTTCATCTGCTATTGCCCCAGCGACATCCAGTTTGTGCAGGAGATGATCCGGCAACTGGAGCAGACAAACTATCGACTGAAGTTATGTGTGTCTGACCGCGATGTCCTGCCTGGCACCTGTGTCTGGTCTATTGCTAGTGAGCTCATCGAGAAAAGGTTGGCTAAGGTCAAGGGTGGGTGGGTGAGTGGGTGCATGAAGCCCTGCCCAGAGGTCCAGATGCTGGGCATCTCCTCCTAGCTGTGCACTGTCCAGCCTGGGCACAGCGGGCCCCTCCTGAAGCTATTCCCAGGCGGTATGCTGGACTAAGTTGCCACAGGACCTGCAGCCTACCCACTCTCCCCTAGGTGCCGCCGGATGGTGGTTGTTGTCTCTGATGATTACCTGCAGAGCAAGGAATGTGACTTCCAGACCAAATTTGCACTCAGCCTCTCTCCAGGTAAGCTCAACCCTGGTCTGGCCAGAAAAATGAAGGAATGAGTAGGTGGGGCCTCTGGATTGTCAGCCTTCCCTCCCCAAGGGCTATGGATGCAGTAGGAAAGAACTCCTGAAGACCTCTGTGCGGCTGAGCTCGTGTGCATGTGTGTGCCTTTTTGTATGAGTGAATGTGTGCCAGGAGTGCTTAGATGGGGGATGGCTGTTGTTAACCCCTGGGTTGAAGACTGGGCCTGTCCCACCATGGGTCAAAGGCCTGATGCCAGCATGGCACCCCTTTTCTTACAGGTGCCCATCAGAAACGGCTGATCCCCATCAAGTACAAGGCAATGAACAAAGAGTTCCCCAGCATCCTGAGGTTCATCACTGTCTGCGACTACACCAATCCCTGCACCAAATCTTGGTTCTGGACTCGCCTTGCCAAGGCCCTGTCCCTGCCCTGACGACTGCTTTGTGACTCTGGGTGTGTGTGTATCTGTCTGCCTGTCCATGCACTTCTGCCCTGCCTCCTCGGTTGTAGGAGGAATCTGTGCTCTACTTGCCTCTCAATTCCTGGAGATGCCAACTCCACAGACACATCTGCCACAGCTGGACATCATCTGGACATCACATTTTATGTCCTGCATGGAACCAGTGGCTGTGAGTGGCTTGTCCACTTGCTGGCTTACCAGCCAGGATGGTATGGAACAGGACAAGCTGGGACTAGCAGAGCCAGCTCTGAGCTATTCATATACCTTCAGTCTTAGTTTCCCCACCTGAACAGTAGGATGGGGAGAACAGAGAGTAGCTGTGTTTGAATCCCTGTAGGAAATGGTGAAGCATAGCTCTGGATCTCCTGGGGGTGACCAATCTTGGCTGTGGGAGAGCTGGCTGCTGCTGGACTACCTGCTGGCCACTGCTGGGACCATGACACTGCTGGGGCAGCTGCTTCCATAATGATGCCTACTGATGCTTCAGTGCCTCTTTGCTCGCCTCCCGTTCCACTTCCTCCTTCCTCACAGGGCAGGTGGGGAAGCAGGTTGGCCCAGCACAAAGGGATCCCACCTTGAAGCTTATTTCCTAATGAGTCCACCTCTCATCTGCATCTTTGACACGTCCCAGCTTCTGCCCAACTTTCAGCCGTGGCAAGTCCTCAAGAGACTGGCCTGAGCAGCCCGAGCTGCTTTTCTTTTCTACCTGGCAAGATGCCTGTGGTCATGCCCTCAGCTACACCTGGCATGAGAAGGGATCCTGGCCTCTGGCATATCCATCAAGTATGAGTTCTGGGGATGAGTCACTGTAACAATGTGAGCAGGGAGCCTTCCCCACTGCACCACCCACAGAGAGCTTTCCCACCAACTTCGTACCTCGATTGCCTTACAGAGTTGTTTGTTTACAAACAGCGATCATACAAGACTGCTTGCCCCAAAGCTTGTGGGTACATGGGCACATACAAACTCACACACAGACACACGCATGTATGTACAGATACATACTCTCACACACACAGGCACCTACCTGTACACACACGTTTCTCTGGGTACAGGTCCCAGGAACAGCTAGTTGGAAAAGTCCCACCATTGATGGAGCCTAACCATGTCCCTGAACAAAAATGGGGCACTCTTATATTCCATAAGAGAAACTTATGTCCCTACTCAGTGAGACCAAACTCTGGAAAGGACCCGGTGTACCAGTATTTATACCTTTAATGAAGCACAGAGAGAGAAGAGATGCTTAAACTCACAGAATAATAAACAACAGACACAGCTGTCCTCTCTCTCTCTCTCAACCCCCCAGAGTGATTTGTACATTACCCACAAACTCTCCTTTGGGGAGAAGGCGTCAGACCTTAGGACCCTAAATCAAATAGAAAATGCATCTCTGCTCCACTTCCAGCCAGGCTGGAGTAAGGTGCCTTTTCTCAGGATCTTGGGAGGGACTGGAGGCCCCTCTGCATGATCTTGTTGAAGCATCTAGCTGCCGTGCACCTGTCCACCTTTAATATTGGGCATTTTAAACTGATCTCTAGAAGTATCTTCTACATGTTTTGTATGCATTTTAATAATTTCAAAGATATCTGAGAAAAGCCTGTATTTGCTATTCTTCCTATATCCTGGTTTATAATAAAGAATATTCAACCTTGGGAACGTTTGTGTGTGTAAGTGGAAGAGGTCTGGAAACAGTAATGTGGGTAAGAGAATCTGGTCTACTGGGTGGGCTACAGTGTATTTGGCAGGGGCTTCCTGAAAGCTGGCCACCTCCTCATTGGTTCAGTCCTCAGCAGCGCTGCACGCAGAACCAGGAATACTGACCTCAGCTACAGACATTCAGGAGACTGCCCTCCTCCGGCCATGTTAGATGTGTTCTGGGTTGTGCCATGCTCCTGGGTCCTGGCCTAGTCTTTGAGTAGGGGTTGATCCAGGCTCCAGACAGAGTCTGGAGGACCCCGCAATCCAGCCACTGAGCATTTGTGCTCATTCCTAATGATCTTTGGGCATATCTATGTTAATTTTAAAGGTACTGATCTATTTTTAAAGAAAATGTATTGCTTTTTCACTGTTCAAGAAAATTTGGAAAATACAAAGAAAAAAACTCACCCATAATAATCCCAGAGAGAAACTCTAGTGACATTTTAGAGTGCTCAGACATTGTCAGTGACAGTAGCTTTTGTCTCAGTGGTCTATCTGCTGCTGTGTCCTGGCTCCTGAGCCACCTGGATGCTGTAGTCTCCCCAGCCTTGCCCGTGTCCTCAGGGACTCCTGGGAAGGCCCTGTGTACTCAGAGAACCCCTGAGGCTGAAGCTTTCTCTCCAGCATCCCCTGGGGAACAGAGCCACACTGTGGCCCTGGCAGTGCCCCCCGGATCTGTCCTGTGCTACCCATGGCTAGGGACACAGTTCTGGGCTGGTCCCCTTGTGGGATAAGCATCTCTTCTCTCAGGCCAGGCTGTTGACCCAAATGTGCTCTCCCCACCCCATCTGAGCCTGACACTCCTCACACCT